GCCGGGCGTATGGCATCCGTCGTAAAGCGGGACAGGAGGAAGCCACCGCCCCCACAGTAGGGAGGATAATGCTCTTCTTGAGTCACCACCTTTGGGACATAATACTTGCTCCAGGGAACCCGAATGGGCCCCACATTTTGGATCAGGTGACCCACAAAAAGGTGGCGGCTGGGGTCATGGTTCTGCAGGTAGGAGACCATGTTATCTGTGTGTGCAAAAACATCATCATCCCCGTTGAGCACGAAGTTGGCGTTGCTGCATCTCGTCTCTTGCCATTGAAGGAACAGCACCTGTGAGTGGGAGGGGAATGGAACATGTGGGCTTCAGGCTTGGGGCAGGTGGCCTTGGGACCCTGTTGGCTGCCCCAGCCCAGTGAGCAAAAGAAAGGAGACATTGTTTCCCAGTCAGATCAGCCTGCATTCGAAATCTCATCTGATGGGGTCATCTGGGTAAAGTATTAAGAAATGCTTGAAAACTGTCACGTTTACGTTTATTGCTATTTCTTCTGATTTTCCCTGATCAAGTTCAAAATTATTTGGGCAACTGCCTACTTCTCTTGTGACTCAGTTTCCAACTTTCCAACAAGGCCTCAAAATAGGACTTGCCTCCATGAAGTTCCAGAAAGACAATGGTCGAGGGGCCAGCAGATGACATGGGGGATAAGGCATGGACTCTCACATGGTCAACTGTGGTTCAAGTCCCAGACCTAGTGGCTTGCTTTCTCACTTTCTCTGTCTCTGGTGACCATATGTGCCCTATAGCAATTTAAAATAATAAATATAATTTTTTTAAAAAAGGACAATGGTCTATTAAGCACCAAGAAGAGCTAGGAAATTGTTACATTTACATTTATTGCTATTCCTTCTAACTCTGCCTGGCCAAGTTGTATAGTTAAATCATTTCTTATGTGATTTTTTTTCCCCCAGAAGATGTGTATGCTCTCTGGAGAGTGACAGAGAAAAAGATAGAAAGAGAGGGGCCAGCAGTTGGTGTGGTAGTTGAGGGTGCTGGACTCCCACATGGCTGACCACAGTTCAAGTCCTGGACCTGGTAGTTTGCTATCTCATTTCCTCTCTCTCTCTTTCTCTGTATCTCTCTGATCAAACTGGAAAATAATAATAAAAAAATAATAAAGTCAAATAAAAAGAAAGAAAGAGGAAAAGGAAGAAAGCATCTTCCACGAGGAATGGCCACATCACAATCCCTTCCTCATCTCTCCCTCTTTTTTGGATTTTTTTCGCACATACACACATGCACTCAGTGTTTTTCAAGGCACCAGGTCCAGGACCTGAATTTCACCGTCGGCCACGTGGGATCCAGCTGCCATAACTACCACACTGTGAGCTCTTATTCGTGCCATTCCCTGAATACCCTCTGGGAACCCGGTCCTTTGTAAGTACCAGATTCATATTGATCAGTTTGATGTGTTTGTTTGAAAAGGTTTTTGGTACAGGGCGTGCGCGCTCACCAGAGAAAGATAGACAGAGAGACAGAAAGTGAGAAATCAGCCCCCAGGGGGATAGCCACACCGCAATCCCTTCTCCTCTCTGGATCTTGGGCATGCACACACACACACACACGGGCCCGATGTGAGTTTAAGCTACCGGGTCCGGGACTCAAACCGTGGTCGACTATGTGGGAGTCCAGCGACATAGCCATTACGCCAACTGCCGGTCTCTGTGTTTTGTTGAAAAACATGGCATATGTGGGGCCAGCAGGTGGCATGGTGATTAAGGATGCTGGACTTCTACATGGCTAACCTTGGTTCAAGTCCTGGACCCGGTGGCTTGCTTTCTCACTTTCCCCCTCTCTCTCTGTCGCTCTCTGGTCAAATTAAATAAGTGAATGAATGAATGACTAACTAATGCGAAGTAAAGTAATTCTTTAAAAAAAAAAAAGGCAGGACCAGCAGTTGCTGAAATGGCTATAAACAAACTTGGGACCAGTCACAGGCATGGTGGTTAAAGTGGCTGGATCCCACATGACTGATTACATGGTTTGAGTCCTAGACCCAGAAGCTTGAAAATCATGCTGGGTGCGTGTGCATGTATGCCCAAAATCCTGAGAAGAGAACGGAGGAGAAGGGACTGTGGTGTGGCCATCTTCCTTGGGGAGGGGTGCTCTCACTTTCCCTCTCCCTCCCTCTCTCTCTCTAGTGAGCACACAACGCCCTACATAAAAAAAAAAAAACAAAAACGAAAAACGAAAACAAATCCAGAAAAACAAAACTCATGTGATCCTCACAGAAGCCCTGCGAAAGTGTGAATCTCAAGCAAGATTGAGATTCCTGGGAACCAGCAGTTAGCGTCATGGCTATGTCGCTGGACTCCCACGTAGTCGACTGCGGTTCGTGTCC